AATAAAAAGCACAGTGGATATGAGAGACTAATGCAGCAATAAATAAAAAGCACAGTGGATATGAGAGACTAATGCAGCAATAAATAAAAAGCACAGTGGATATGAGAGACTAATGCAGCAATAAATAAAAAGCACAGTGGATATGAGAAGAAGGGATGGAAGGAGGTAGCTACTACACCTCTCCCTTCAACCCCTGGTTGGAATCTCCTCTCCTTCTCTCCCTTCACTCCCTCTCTCCCTCTTTCTCTACATCCTCCATCTTAATTTCTCTCTTTCTCTCTCCTCCACCCACTCTTTCCTATCCACCTTACTCTCCCTACCCCCTCACTCCTTTCTCTCCCTACCCCTACCCCCCCTCACCCTTACTCTCCCTACCCTCACTCCTTAACTCTCCCACCCCCTCGACTCCTTACTCTCCCTACCCCCCCTCAGACGCCTGTACTCTCCCTACCCCCTCCCTCCTTTCGCTCCCTACCCCCCTCCTCCTTCTCTCCCTACCCCCTCATCCTTCTCTCCCTCCCCCTCACTTCCTTTCTCTCCCTACACCCCTCACCCTTACTTCCCTACCCCCCTCACTCCTTTACTCTCCCTAACCCCTCCCTCCTTACTTCCTCCCTCCCCTCTTCACTCCTTTCCTCCCCTACCCCTACTCCTGACGCCCCGACCCCTCACTCCTTTACTCTCCCTATACCCCCTCACTCATACTTACTCTCCCTACCCCCTCACTCCTTTCTCGCCCTACCCCTCCTCCTTTTCTCTCCCTACCCCCTCACCTTCCTTACTCCTCCTCCCTAACCCCCCCTACTCCTTTTCTCTCACCTCCCTACCCCCTCACTCCTTACTCGTCCCTTACCCCCTCACTCCTACTCTCCCACCCCCTCCTCCGACGTCTCCTACCCCTTCACTTCCTTACTCCCCTACCCCCTTCACTTCGCGTTTCTCCTACCCCTCCCTCCTCACTCTCCCCTCACCCACTCACTCCTTATCTCCCTAACCCCTTACACTCCTTTCTCTCCCTACCCCTCACTCCTTCTCTTCCCTACCCCTCCTCCTTACTCTCCCTACCCCCCTCACTCCTTACTCTCCCTACCCCCTCACGTCCTTTTACTCTCCTCCCTACCCCTCACTCCTTACTTCCCTACCCCCTCAACTCCTTACTCGCCCTACCCCCTCCCCCCTCACTCCTTACTCTCCCTACCCCCTCACTATACTTCCTTCTCTCCCTACCCCCTACCCCTCCCCTTACTCTCCCTACCCCCTCACTCATTTCTCCTTCCCTCCCCCCACCCCTCACTCCTTACTCTCCCCTACCCCTTCAGCTGACTCTCCCTACCCCCTCACTCCTTTCTCTCCCTATCCCCTCACCCTCCTTTCTTCTCCTAACCCCCTCACTCTTAATACTCTCCCTACCCTTCACTCCTTTCTCTCCCACCCCCATCACTCCTTTCTCTCCCTAACCCCCTACCCCCCCCTCACTCCCTTACTCCAAACTCCCCTCACTCCTTACTCTCCCTACCCCCTCACTCCTGACTCTCCTACCCCCCCTCACTCCTTTCTCTCCCTACCCCCCCTACCCCTCCACGCCTACTCTCCCTACCCCCCTACCCCTCACATCCTTTCTCTCCCTACCCCCCTCACTCCTTACTCTCCCTACCCCCTCACCATTTCTCTCCCTACCTCCCTACCCCTCACTCCTTACTCTCCCACCCCTTCAACCCTCACTCCTTTCCTCCCTAACCCTCACTCCTTACTCTCCCTACCCCTCATCCTTACTCTCCCTACCCCCTCACTCCTTACCTCGCTCCTACCCCCTCACTAAAAAAAACCTTACTCTCCCTACCCCTTCAACTCCTTCTCTCCCTACCCCCTCACTCCTTTACTCCCCTACCCCCCCTCACTCATTCTCTCCCTACCCCTCACTCCGTTACTCTCCCTACCCCCCATCACTCCTTACTCTCCCCCTCCCTACCCCCTCACTTCCTCCTTACTCTCCCTACCCCCACCTCCTTACTCTCCCTACCCCCCTCACTCCTACTCTTCCCTAAACCCCCTCACTCCTTACTCTCCCCTATACCCCTTCCACTCCTTTCTGTCTCCCCTACCCCCTCCCCTTAATCTCCTACCCCCCTCACTCTTTACTCTCCCTACCCCTTCACGCCTTTTCCTCTCCCTACCCGCCTCATCCTTGACTCTCCCTACCCCCCTCACTCCTTACTCTTCCTACCCCTCACTCCTTTTCTCTCTCCCTCGTTCCCCTCACTCATAACTCCCCTACCCTTCACTCCTGTCTCTTCTCTCCCTCCCCCTACCCCCTCTCCCTCAATCATACTCTCCTACCAAAAACCCCTCACTCCTACTCTCCCTACCCCTCCACTGTCCTTCCTCTCCCTACCGCCCCCGTCACTCCTTACTCTCCCCGACACCTCACAGCCTTTCTTCTCCCCTACCCCCTCTCCCCTCACTCATTACTCTCCCGTCCCTCACGCTCCCTACCCCACCC